GTCGAGGTCCAGCGGCAGCACCCCGCCGTGGCGCCAAACCTCTTGGTACTCGTCCTTCAGCGCGTCGGGTGCGGCTGCGATCCCCGCTGGCCCCTACGCCCCATCGGGGTCGGGCGCCGAGGCCAGCGGCGCTTTGCAGAAGCGACGCGCAGCCCCTGCACCGTCTTGCACCGCCTCGCGCGCCCACTTGCGCCACTGCCGACCCCGCTTCTTGCCACGGCGGGCTTCGCCGCGAGCCCACGAGCCTCCTGATAAAGCGCCTCCAGCTGGCTGTAGCTGAGGTGGCTGAGCTTGCGGAGCTGGCGCTTACACTTCCGAACCTCTCCTCTGACATCAGGTCGCCTCCCAGGTCCCCAGCCGCCAGCGAGCCCGCCTTGGCCTGCAGGGCCTTCAGCTGCTCCAGCGTCTTGGGGATCGACGCCCTGGCGCGCAGTCTTCGGCGGCAGGCTAGCGCCTCCCAGACGGCGGCAGCAATGCGTCGCCACCGAGCAGACACTGGGCAGCCTCGAGGGTGAGGCCTGCCCCCCGTCAGCAGCACGTCCTTCTCCGCATACCGCGGCTCGGCCTCGCGCCCGACGTAGAGGTGGGAGCCCTCTGGCGCCACGTGGTACAGCCCGAGCAGGTCGGCCCCCATCAGCTCGGCAAACTCCCCGTAGAGCTGGCTTACCATGTCTTGCTGCCCCAGCTGCAAGTGCTTCGCCTCGACAGTGGCTGCCCTCGCTGTTGGCGAGGCTTGCGGCGGCGCGGGGAAGGGGTCGCGACGCTGCTGGGCTGAATCCTGCCCCCCCTCCCCCGACGGGAGCTGGGCTGGCAGCTCGGGTCCGAGGCTGGGCCCCGCGACCGAGTCCAGCCCCCTACCGCCGCCAGCATTGCCGCCCCTTCCTGCGCCGCCTGCCTGTTGTTTCCCACGGCTCCGCGCTCACGCCGTCGATCACGTCCGTCCTCCTGGAGCGGTCGCGCGGTTGCCCCTGGCTTGGGGGCGGGGGGCAGGGTGCCGCCAGAGTTCCCCCCCCGCCCAGGCCGACACGCCGCTCCTCCAGTCACTTGCGGCCCCGCCCACGCTGCCCCTCCAGCAGCGGCGCGCTTCCCCGGCCGATCGCCGACAGCGGCCCGAAGGCCCGCAGCAACGCCGACTGCATCCCGAGGGCCCGCGGCACTCGCAGGGGCCCACGGGCGCCACAGGTGACTCTGCTGCCTGCCCACCAGCAGCAGCCCCACCAGCGTCGTCGCCCGCGATCGAGGCGGGCCTGCCCCACTCGCTGTGTTTACCCCTTGGGTGTACCTGGGGGCAGGCTCCAGCAGAATTTCTGGCGATTGAGCCCAGCCCCTCTCGCTGTTTACCTCGAGGGTGCTCCTGGGGACTGGGACTTGCGTTCTAGAGTCTGCGTCATCTCGCCCCGTGTCGGCGCGGGGTTTTGGCGAGAGCCGCTCTGGGATCAGCGGTTCGCACGAGGTTAAATCGATCTCCCGCACGGATCGACCCGCAGCCCCCCCGCCTCCACTTTGCGCAGCAACGTCCAGTGGCCCCCCAGGCATGACGTCCTCGTCGACCGTCAGGTCACAGAGGCCATGCTCCTCGGCCGCGTCGCCGTAGGCCGTGGACGACCTCGGCCCAGCCCGGGTCGAGGTTCTCTCTCAGCCGCTTCAGCGAGGCCGCGTCGACGCCGACAGGGAGCTGGTAGCCGACGCCCAGGACGCTGGCCAGCCCGTCGACTGGCGAACTCGACTCACGCCTGAGCGCGGCTCCGACCGCGCCCTCCGCTTGGTCAGGCAGAGGGCAGTCGGGGGCGGGTGGTTGCTGCGGCTTGGTCTTCTCCTGCTTCACCCCCGAGTACGCCTCGTCCGTCTCGGCTGCCTCCTGCCCTGCGGCAACGCCCAGGTCGGCCAGTGCCGCGCGCACTCGCTGCAGGAAGGGCCCCCATGCAGGAGGCTCGGGGCGCGGCCCAACGGGCCGCTACGCGGGCAGCGTTCGCGCCGCCTAGTGGACCAGCCTGCGCTCGGGGGCGCCCTTGTCACTGAGCAGGAGCCGCACGGGCCAGTGCGGCGCCGGCGCCGCGCCCTGCCTGCTGCAGCCCTGAACCTTGCCGCCCCAGCAGCCCGAGACTACGAAGAAGTCGATCTCCGACCCTGACCCGACGCGGCACGTGGGAGACCCAGGCGCCACGATCATGCGGTCGACTTCCTGCGGCCAGCCCCAGGCCTCCAGCTCGTGGGGCCTGCACTTCCGGTCGCCGCCGATGACGTGGGGCACCTTGGTGTAAGCCAGGTACTCTCCGAGCTGCCCCAGGACCAGCTTCGACTCCGCATCGAGGCCTCTGGCAGCTACCAGGTACACCGACACCGACAGGAACCCACCTGGCACTCCGCAGTTGACCCACTTCGCGATCACTCGGTCCCGTGGCAGCTTGGGTCCCTGGAGCGCATTGCCCATCCCGATGTGCGCTCGCACTCCGATGCCCACACCGCTGGACAGGCCGCCCTTCTCGGTGAGCACAGACTCGCTGAACGCCACCTTCCAGCCTTCTCTGCGGCAGGCTTGCTCTGCTTCAGGCGCCGCGCCTGGGGCCACGCCCACCTCCTGCACGAAGACCGCGTCTGGGGTCGCCTCCTGCTGCAGCCAGCGCATCATGTTGCCGCGGGACGTGGTGTGGGCTGTTATCAGGCGCCATACTCCGACTTCACGCCGAGCATGGGCCAGCCTTCTCTTGGCCTCGGTCGTCGTGCCCTCGGGCGCGCCTGGTGACGGGGAGCTCGATCCATGCGGCCTGACACGCTTCCTCGAGCTTGCCACGGCCGGCGCGCACCGCGCCGCGGCCGGCACCGCTCGCCGCGAGGACTTCGGAGGCCGTCGGCGGCCTTCGGTGGCCCTCGGAGGCCCTCGGAGGCCCCGGGAGCTTCAGGAGGCCTTCGGAGGCCATCGGAGGCCCTCGGAAGCCTTAGGAGCCCCAGGAGGCCCTCGGAGGCCATCGGAGGCACTCGGAGGCTCTCGGAGGCCCCAGGAGGCCCTCGGAGGCCATCGGAGGCCCTCGGAGGCCCTGGGAGCGCCAGATCGACATTGGCCTGCATCACGGCCTCCACCGCGGCCGCGGGTCCCCCGCGAACACGGTGCGGAGAGCTGCCGCCACCATCGCTGCCGCAGCTTACCGCGACGCGCCAGCAGACCCAGCACCCCATGCAGCAGCAGCCACAAGCTGGGCGTCGCGCGACCACGCCGGCCCGCCGCCAACGCCGTGAGGAGGAGAAGGAGGAGGAGGAGGAGGAGGAGGAGGAGGAGGAGGATTAGGACGAGGACGAGGACGAGGACGAGGACGAGGACGAGGACGAGGACGAGGAGGAGGAGGAGGACGACGACGACGACGAGGACGAGGACGAGGACGAGAACGTGGACGAGGACGAGGACGAGGACGAGGACGAGGAGGAGGAGGAGGAGGACGAGGAGGAGGAGGAGGAGGAAGAGGAGGAGGAGGAGGAGGAGGACGAGGGGCAGGAGGAGGAGGAGCAGGAGCAGGAGGAGGAGGAGGAGGAGAGGACCAGGGGGGAGCAGAAACCACGGGGGGGGGGAGAGGAAGAGTGGAGAGGACGCGGAGGAGGGCAGGGAAGAGAGGCGATGAGCGCAACGGGGAGGAGCGAATTGGAGGAAGGTGAATCGACTACACGTAAGAGTGACCGTTCGCTGGAGTGACCTTTGGTGTCGGCCCATTTGGGCCCCCCGATCGCCGAGCGCGATGCGATAGTAGCGTCTTGCGCGCTCGTGTTTGGCCGCTCCGCGGCCGCCAAAAAGCCGCGCACCGCAGGTCACTCTTACCCAGCGTCACTCCTGCGTGTAGCCGAAGGAGGAAGGGGAGAGCCATGAAGCGGAGCCCGGCTCCTGACCCCCCCAGGGAGGAAGACTTGGACCGTCTGGAGGCAGGGTCGTGGAGCTGTCTGAGACGTCTTAGGGGCCGTCTTGAGGTGGTGTGGAGGCAGTGGGACGGAATCTTGGGCAGCCTTGGAGCTATGCAGGATTGGGGACCTTCCCATGGGGCACGACCTGTATGAGGTTATGCCATCCGGAGGCAGGGACACCACATGGGACGCTCCCATTGTGGTCCTAGTGAGGGCTCGCTGCGGGGCACGATCTGTATAAGGTGTGTGCCGAGTTGGGACGGGGGGGCGTCATATGGACGCCCCTCCTGAGGCTGGAGCTGCGGCTCGCTAGGGGGGCGGGCGGGGGAATTGCGGCTGGGACGCCTTGAGTACGCCCCCACTGGCGGCAGGTTTGGCGCCCTACGATGCGCGATCCGTGTGAGGTGTGGGCTAGATCAAAGTGGGGACGCCTAAGGGATGCCCCCACGGGCCGTGAGCGGGGCTCCACAATGGGTACAACCCATGCGAGATGTGTGTATGTATGTGCTGGACTGAAGCGGGGACACCACAGGCACGCGCATGCTGAGGCCGTAGCTGGGGATGCCTATGGAGCAAGATCTGTGTGAGAGGCGTGGCGACTTGAGGCAAGGACAGCACAGGGACGCCTCTACTGCGGCCGTAGATGGGGCTCCTCACGGGGTCACGATCTGTGAAACGTGCGTGCCGAACTGAGACGGGGACGGTACAGGAACCCCCTCAAGGGGGACGTAGGTGGGGCTCCTTGTACGGCGCGGTATGTGTGAGTGCATGCCGAAGCGCACACTCTGGCAGCATGTCGGCCACGCGCAGAGGGGGGCATGGGGAGGGGAAAGGCTTCTTGGAAGCACGCCTGCTTCTTAGAAGACGCGGGCCTTGTCTGTAGATGTAGGGCCGGCGCCTTCTAAGAAGCAGCCTCCTTTTAAGAAGCCTTCCCCCTCCCCCCACCCCCTTCAGCGCGCCGCCAAGCATGGGCAGCAACATCAACGCAGTATCAGGAGCGCTTGGAAGGGAAAGAGGAGCTGACAGGACGACGGCGACGCTCGGCGCAGCAGGGAAACAACGGGGGCCTACTACCAAAGATGGGGCTTCCGGGGCAGAGCCGGGGAAAAGCCGAGGTGCGCAGCGGCGACTTCGTTACGCAGAGCCACCACCTCGCGGACCAGGTGGCACCTTCAGGCAGGAGGCCCAGGCGAGGATGACAAGTGAGAGAAGCTTCCAAGGCGGCTCAGCAGTTCGTGTGTAAGCTCCTTTTGTGAGCAACTCGCGCGAAGTGCTTGCCGCGAGGAGAGCTAAGGTTGCTTTCACTTGAACTTACTCTGTCTCGTGAACTCGTCAACCTCGCCGTACCCACCATACTCACCTGTCCATTACATTACGAGCATTGTGGCACATGTCGATGGGTTATTGCGGTCATGATGGATTGAGGATGATGCATACTATTACCGTTGTAACCAATGCACGTGGGCAGAGAAGTTGTTCCAGGAGTCTAGAATGAGCTTATATAGCGGTGCACTGCATCTCGATCGCCAGTTCATTCGTCCGAATTGCTGGGCTTGTGGACCTACTAGCGTGTACACTGACCCCAGATTTCGTCGCACAGGTTTGCGCTTGTTGTGTTGGGATGCATGTTCGATGTGCACCACGGATTCCCAGTTTGGGCTTCTTCATTGTAAAGTGTCATCTCATTCGTCCTCTTTTCTTATGATTTATTTGAAGTGCTCCCCGGGTAGTATGCAGAGCAGTCGTTTTCGATCGCTGTATGATATTCATCCTCTGTGCGCCACCTCTCACACTCCATTTTCAGATTTGCAGGGTGAGTGGTAGCGGCACTAGTGCCAGTCGGCCCATCCGGCCACCGCGGTTTGGGGATCTTGGGGTCGTCTCGGGCTGGATTGATTCTCCGCACCTGGCATAACGTGTTCTCCGAAGCCTGAGGAGAATGATCAAAGACGAAAACGTGTTGAACGATTTGGGGGCGCTGAGAGCTCACGCGTTTCACCACCATGACACAACCAGGAATTATGGGAGATCGGGTGCCTCGGCCTCTGAGAACCGTACAACCCTCGAACACTCAACACTTACAAATGTGCGCACCTTAGGGTATTCTCCTTCGAGCTCAAGGCACGGTGGCGGATTCATCCATTGCTGGTTCGATGTGGGTGTTCCGTGTCGTGACCCTGCGTATTCTATGTCATGAATCTTCGAGGTTCGTCATGGTGCAATGCTGGTGTTCTCAATATAAACGACCATCCAAGAAATGCAAGAGCCGGGACGACGTCACCCCCGCGCTCCCGACTTAAATATTTACATTCACACGCAGGCCGTGGGCAGCAAAAGGGGACATTTGTTCGAAACGGTTTTTATTTGCCCAGATCGAAGGCCCCGAACCTGTAAAATGGGGCCAGGGGTTCTGTCGCGTTTCGGCACCTTTCAAGGATAGTTGTTTGTTCGAAAACCTTGAGGTTCCTCGTCCTTCAGGAGCAAGATGACTCCCATATATTGCGTTTCAGTCTCGGGTCTTCGAGCCATGCAATACGCGCCGTCTCATCCCTTCTGAATGCATGGTTACTGTAATTAGTCTGTGTGCTGATTTTCCTGTCTGTACGCATGCGGAACAAGACGCATACCCCGTCGAACGTTCCTGTGCAGCCACTGCATCTGACGTACTGTGTATTGCGTCCTGGCACGTTTAGGCGTGCTAGAGCTGCTGCGCCAATATGCTGCTGGCACTTGCCATGCTACTTTGGATCAACAGTATGGCCAAGATCGGCTGGGGAACGCTAGGGGGAGGTCACACGGCTTTGCGAGGCAATCCTGGTAAAATTCACAATTTTGGTGGGACGATGACGAAATATCTTTGGCTTCAGAGGCTAATTGCAGAGATTGTTTGCACGCTGGAGCCTTTTGGTGTATTCCTTGAGTTCGAGAGGCTCCTATGGGCAATATTAAAAGCTAGCAGCGCCATCTAAGGCACTCTCGGGGGGGAGCTCTTTTTCCAGTCGAATTCGATGTTCTGTATCATATTATATAGGCATGCGGAATCTCCTCTTTTGCTTGAGGCTTTAGGCCGAAGCATACATACAGCACTCACCATCTGAGCACTTCGACTGGAGGCTGTCTTTCGCACTCAGTGACGTCTCTTTGGCATGTTCGAGATGTGCCGCGCCCACCTGTAGTTCTGTCATTTCTTCGATCATGTGGTCGCCCTGTGGTGACCTACCTGTCACCATCATCTTACCATTACGTGCTCTCACTTGTTGCGGTATACGCACCTTCGGCGTACCTGGTTCCAGTCAGGGACGACACCAGAAGGTCGTAGGTCTGCGCATGCGATTGCACATGGAGATTGTCAGACAATGAGTTCAGGACGCCCATGCTGGAGGGTGCTGTGCTCCATAGGTTGTGAGGTTCTGCGGCTCCGGCAAAAATGAGTGCCCGGGCGAGCTTGCGTAGGGGAAGTTCAATATTAAGGGGTAGGGGAGGTCGATTCTCTCTTGGACCCAACACCTCTCTGTACCAATTTGAATTTGCACGGTAGATGAATACCCTGCTTTACGGGAGAGGGCGGTCAAGCATGATAGTGCTCAGGTGGGCACATAGAATCCAAAAGTTCTGAGACAGCGTATCAGGAAGGTTATTGATTATTTTGCCTGTGAGTTCGAAGTTGCGCATCCCGAGCAGTAATAGCCCCTCGATTGAATTCTACTTTGGGTCAGCCAATGCCCCAGCACCAGAACACATCTCGCATTCGAGCCACCGACCGCGGGCGTGCCCAGACGGCAAGGTCGAGCAGGCGGGTCGCTGAAACGTCAGTCCGCAGGAATCGCAAGGAAGTCTCGAGCGATAGCGCGCTGCCCAAGTAACTCGTGAGGAAGTCCTAAACGAGAGCGTGATTCCTTCGTGTCGAGGGCGTGGCGTTTCAATAAATTGCGGGGAAGTCCCACGCGAGAGTGCGATTCCTGGATAAATTGTGAGGAAGTCCCGCACGAGAACGCGATTGTGAATAGACTGAGGAAGTATCAGTCGGGAGCCGCTGTTGTTGCAAAACCAGGTGCCAAGAATATAATATGAGGCGCAAGGTTCCCGTGTTTAAAGACATGGCTTTTCAATTGAGAAAAGCACCATGATCACCGCGCAGGAGATAGCAACCATAATTGCCCTTCCGACAAAAAAAAAACTCAACAAGAACAACAACAACAAGAAGAACAACAACAACAACAACAACAACAACAATCATTTTACCCGAACGCTCAGTGTTCTCCCCAGTGCCAGGGTTTTCATGCGACGCCAGCCAATACCCCCACTTCGTGGGGGGGCAATGCAAGCTCTACCAAACATCCACACGACTCTCGGGAACCACCCACACCCAGCTTCCCGCCCTATGACGTCAGGACACTTCACTTCGTGGCGCGCGGACGATCGTGGATACTACACTGGCGTGGAGTACACACCCGCAGAGGTTGATCACTTGTTTGGGCCCCGCATGTGCCCCGCATTTGCCAGATGGCTACGGATATGAGCGTGAGAGGAAGGGGGGAAGCCTCCTGGGGCCGCTGGGGGTCCTCTTGGGGAAGGGGGGAAGCCTCCTGGCGCCGCAGGGGGTCCTCTTGAGAGGCTTTGGGGGGCTTCTTGAAAGCATGTTGGGGCCTCTTGGGGGCTTATTGGATCCTCCCGGAGGACTCTTGGAGCCGCTTGGACGCCTCCTGGGGCCATCTTGGGGGCCTCTTGGAGCCAACTTGGAGCCTCTTTGGAACCTCTTGGGGGCCTCTTGGAGTCCTCTTGGGGCCTCTTGGGACCATCTTGGGCGCCTCTTGCGGCCTCATGGGCGCCTCTTGGGGCCATCTTGAGCGCCTCTTGGGGCCATCTTGGGTTTTAAAGATTCATGAAGAGCCCGCGGGTGGATTTTGATATTTTTCGGATGAGAAAGTCTTGCGTTTGCATATGTTTTCGGAACATCGCATCTTGAAATTATTGAAATCACATTATGTTTGGCAGGATTTCGGCACGCGCGCGCGGCGGCCGCGCGCATGTGCACTTCGTGTCATTTTTTGCAAGGGATGGTGGCCCTCGTAGGCTCGCAACCGTTGTTGCAGAAGGTCGAAGCACCTGAAAAGGTTCCTCGCAAAGGCCCTTTTAACAGAAATGTTTAAAATCTGGTGGGTTTCCTAGGAATCCGCAAGAGCGCGCGGAAGGACATTTTGACAATTTTTTCTGAGAAAACCATTGGGTTTTTGATGTTTTTATGTTAAAATCGCTACGAAACCTAAGGTTTTGGAAGGATTTCGTCTTGCGCGCACGAATGTCCACTTTACCTTATTTTTTGCAAGGGATTCTTGCAATTTGATCAAGTAAAACAAGAATTTTCATTTTCTATTGTTTTTTGCAAGGGAAAACGAGCGTCAACAAAAAACCGGATCCGGAGCTCATCCACTTTTCTGAAGCTTTCGCGAAAAAATGATGAAAATGTAGCTGCGGCCTAGGCGCGGCGCAGAGGTCGCGCACCAGGGGTCCCAACAATAATAATTCTTTAGAAGGAATAATGTTCAACAATTACTAGCACGTGGGGACACTCCGTTCTCACCAGTGCCAGGGTTTTCATAGGAGGCGGGCAATACCCCCACTTTGTGGGGGGGCCGGTTCAAGCTCTACCAAATTTCCAAACGACTCTTCGCCACCACCCACACCCAGCTTCCCGCCCTATGACGTTCGGACACTTCACTTCGTGGCATGCGGACGACCGTGGCTACTATTCAGGGCCCCGCGGCCGACGACGACGGCGTGCGCGCGCGAAGAAAAAACGAATGTGTCCCGCATGGTATTATTTGACAGGGATGATGGCCCTGGCAGGTGCGCAACCGTTGTTGCAGAAGTTCGAAAAAGTTGCTCGCAAAAGCCCGTTTGACAGAAATGTTTAAAAAGTGTTGGGTTTCCTACGAATCCGCAAGAGCGCGCGGGATGAAATTTTGACATTATAAAAAAAAAAAAAAAAAAAAAAAAAAAAAAAAAAAAAGGCTTTTTGATGTTTTTATATTAAAATCGTTACGAAAACGAAGGTTTTGGAAGGATTTCGTCTTGCGCGCGCGAATGTCCACTTTACCTTATTTTTTGCAAGGGATTCTGAAGTTTGGTTATGTTAGAACAAGAAATGTCCACTTTAGCCTTTTTTTTGCAAGGGAAAGCGGGCCGTAACAAAACAACCGGATCCG